CTTCTTAAAGCTCTGGCTCTTGACTCGCCCAAATATGCTCATGTTGATGCAGAAATCCTCCTAACATTTAAGCAGCTTATACGCAAATATCCTACAGGTTTTCTCCTCCCTGGTTCTCCGTTGGGTCAGATACAAGGCTTTGAATATCACATTGACACTGAGGATGCCTTGTCTGTGTACAAACATCCTTACCGGAAAAGTCCGGAAGAGTTACTTGCTATTAAGAATGAGTTACAGCGCATGCTTAAAATGAAAATTATCCAACCAAGTAAATCTGGAAGGGGGCACCTTGTATTCTTGTCCGCAAACCACTGGAAAATGGCGTTCAACAACCACCACGCTTTGTTGTGGACTTCAGAGACCTAAACAGTGTAACTCGGGGTGACGGCTACCCCATTCCGTCCACTGCAAGTATTCTTGATTCAGTTTCCCAAGGAAAAGTGTTTGGACACTGTGACCTTGCCAGTGGATATTGGCAAATTCCCCTACGCCAGCAGGATCGTCAGAAAAGTGCCTTCTGTACTCATGTTGGACTTTACGAATTTTTACGGCTACCATTCGGATTAAAAACTGCACCTAACACTTTCCAGAGGATTGTCAATACTGTTTTTGCTGATTATTTACATCAATGGCTGACTGTCTACGTTGATGACATTATTATGTGGGCACAAACACAGCGTGAAACTCTACATTCTTATGAATTGCTGTTTGAAAGAGCTGTAAACTTTGGCATCTAATTCAAGCCCTCAAAGTGTACCTTCTTTGCTAAAGAGATTCAAGTTTTAGGACACACCATTACTGAACATGGGAGAAAACCAAACTCGAAGGGAATTGAAGCCATCCTTAGCATGGAGCCGCCTTCTAATACAACCAGCCTTAAACGATTTCTGGGTCTCTGTAACTTCTTCCGTGATTATATTCAAAACATGCCTTCTCGTACCAAGTACTTGCGTCAACTCTTAAAAAAGGATACCCTTCTCTTGGTCAACACACCACTCCAGGGAATTCGAGGAGTTAAAACATGCAGTTACTGGTCCTGATGTTTTACTCTCTCATCCAGACTGGACTTCTCCATTTGAACTTCACGTTGATGCAAGCAAGCTAGGTTGTGGTGCTATGCTTGCACAGTACAAAGACAGCCAACTCCGCCCTGTCAGATTTGCATCAAGAGCCTTCACTCCCGCTGAATCCCGCTGGCACACTTTGCAACAAGAACTGTTTGCTGTTAAGTTGGGTCTAGAGTAATTCTGTCCTTACATTCTTGGCCGTCGTGTCAAAGTCATTACAGACCGCGCAAATTTGAAATGGCTTACCTCCTTGGCCCCACAGCAAGCTAAACTAGCTCGGTGGTGTATGACAATGAACATCGTCCAGGAATCACGATACCATAAGTCGTCAGCCTATGTCAGACTTGCCTTCATTTGAGGAACCTTATGCTCCAGAAGATGGTGTGAACTCTTTTGTCCTACTTGCAGTCTCTATGGACATCCCCAGTCATAGTCCCACACTGGTTTCTGATACGCTCAACGGCACTTTTGCTTACCTTCGCCGCATCTGCCTTGTAGCTCCTGTCAATGTTGATTCTGCACCTGATCCTGACCTTTCTGTAACAGCTCCAATCGATACCAATTCTTAGGACTATTTAGTTGCCTTACCTGGACTTAACCTTCATCGCTCTAAGTTTGCATTGCAACAACAACAGGATTACTGGTGTAAACTTGTGTTCAAAGTTAAAAGAAAAGTAAAATTCCTAGGCGTTCCACAGAAACATTTGCAGTTGGCTCGGCATTTCCCCAAACACGCAGCCACCATAGATGGTGTCCTTATGTATCGTGACGAATTGATGGACAATCCAAATCATTACCGTTATGTAGTTCTTGATGATATCCAGTTCCGTAGACATCTGTTAAGAGCCTACCATGACTCTCCTGTTGCAATGCACCGAGGCCGAGAAGCCACATATCAATCTCTAGCAAATGACGTTTACTGGAGGAACATTTCCAAACATGTCAGACACTGGATTCGCAGATGCCCTGACTTCATCCGTTTCAAAACTGCTGAACAACATCACGGTCCCATGCAAGTTCTCCTTTACGAACATCCATTTCATACATTAGGCATAGACTATATTGGTGAGCTCCCAGTTTCGCCTAATGGAAACAAATGGATCTTGACAGCTGTGTGCCCTTACTCAAACTTTCTACGGGCTATACCTGTCTCTGACAAACGAGCTACTACTGCAGCACGCGCCCTGTATGATCATGTGTTCCTTGAATATGGCTTTCCTGCAGTACTCCAAAGTGATCAAGGTGGTGAATGGGTCAATTCTGTGCTCCAAGAACTCACCAATTTGCTATCTATAGAACACGTGTTCACCACAAGTTATCACCCTCGCCTTATTGGTTCTACAGAAAGAGTGCACCGCTGGCTTAATTCTGCTTTAGGTATTTACTGTGAAAAAAAATCAACAGCTATGGGAGGAATTCTTACAACCTATCACTTACGCCTACAATACCCCTCCAATTCCTGGAACAGATCAAGTAACTCCGTTCTTCCTGGTGTTTGGCAGACAGCCTGGAAACAATTTGACAAAATCAAGCAGATCTTGAAAGAACTCAGCGAGAATACTATGTCATGCATCTTCATGTGCCTGAAGGAAAGAGAGTTTTTGTACGACTACCGCCTCCAAGCGCAACTGCAAAAGGGGCAGCAACTCGTTTTCTTAGGAAATATGATGGAGCCTACATTGTCACTGGCCATGTTCACGGTCGTGAAGATTTGCCACGTTTACGGCACCTTTCAACTGGTAAAGAAATCAGAGCAGTGAACATTGAAAAGATTGTGGTAGTTCCTGATTCTGATCCTCGTGCAGACATCCGTGATGATACTGAGCAAGAACAAACTAGGGGAACTGTAGTGTCTTCATTACCAAAAAGCACTGTAGCTTCGCCTGTAAATCGTAGTTCAGATTTAACAAAGATCGCTTTCGCCTTTGCGAAATATCTCAGCTCATTGCCACAAGCCCAGTGTTATGCTTCTGAGGCTTGTAAAGCGGTTTATAATAGCTTACCAGAAGCTAGAGACATTCTTAATCGACATGGCAAACTTAAAGGACTCCTCAGTCAGTTTCCCTACTTATCTTTACAAGGTGGACCACATGGAGGCACCTGCACCTACCTCCTTGTTTTGAATGTAAAGCAATTCCGTGAACTTAACAAATAACTCCCCAAGAAGGGGTGGACTCGTGAAGGAACTTTCGTTTTGTTTGTTTGCTACAAGTTTTCAAATTTTGTACCCAAGAAGGGGTGGACTGTAGTGGGACAGTTTATGCTGTCATGTAGGAAGTAGATAACACTAAAAACCGGTCTGAACCGCTCCGGGGAAAAACACACGCGTAGCTTCTGTACCAGAATAGATTAGTCTGTCTCGTAGTGATTAAAGTGTTGAATTCTCAGTTCTACTCGTATCAAATCCTTGTACAAGATAAGGGGGGCGGTCATCCAGACCCTTAGATAAGGGGGACCCGGTCTCAAAATAAAATGTTTTCGGCCCTTCAGTTTAGTCTAAAAATAAGGGGAGGGGTGGGCCCCCCGGGCCCCTCCCCTGGATCCGCCACTGCATTGTGCATTATTTAAAGAAACTTAAATTTTAGGCGCGGAGTTGTCTTATCAGAGGCCTGACGATTCTTTTTATATAACGTCGAGTGGAATACGACGGCTGTGCCACCCATTGAATGGCTTGTGTGAAACGAACCACCGAACAGCCAAACCTCCAAAGCCAGGGAAGAGCGCCCTGGGGACGAGGTTGACCATCGACCAGCTGATTATCCCATCCCTAGTTATCCATGTAACTCTGAGAACTGATATTTCTTACTACCCCTAAAAAATAGGCTTTGATAGATTGTCCTAGCATAATTTTTGGCATAATTTGTCATCACGAGCATAATTTTCATCTATTTTCCGAAAAAAGCACTGCCAGCATAATTTGCACTTTTGAATAGTTTTTTTGGCCTCAGGTCAGTGTTATAGGCAAATTTAAGTAACAAAATCATTTTTTTGTCTGCTTATCAGTTTTTTCATTCGTGAGACCTTGTTCCCACAGGAAGTGACCCGCTACTCTTTTCACAGGATTCAACCCATGGGCATAACCAGCTCGGTAACCCAAGATGGCGTCCGCGTTTCTAGATATAAATAGGGTAAATGCGTTTTCCAGTAACTTGTTTGTTGCATAGTAATTGAGGTGTTTTTTTTTTACGTTTTTACTAAATTTAAAGTAAAAAGTAGAAGCATAATTTCTGCATTTTTTTGCTAAAATGAGTATAATTTACAAAAACTGGCATAATTATTGACATAAATTTGGAAATATACGAGCACTACTAGAAGTCAATTGGTAATTAAAACAAAACTGAATGCAAGGATAGAAATACGACAAAGGGCTGATTCATTTGAGGCCAACATTTCGGCTAATAAAATTAGCCTTCTTCAGGGCCAGAGCTAAGAAAGAACCAATCGGTTTCATTTACGCGTTGAGTAGACCTCTGCATTCAGAGGTTTTTACTGCTAGAGGCATATTTTGCCACTTTTTTGAGCACAATATCAAATCAAAGCCTACCTAAAAATTCCAAGAATGTTATCCCTAAAAATGAGGGTCTCAGGGAGCGCACAAGGGGAGGGGCCAGGGGGGGCGCTGCATATTTACGATTACAACAAGCTTAAAAATTCATTGCCTCATCCACAAAATTGATTTGTCAATCATCCTTCATCCCCTAATGGAAATTATTTGTCCAGTTATATCTTATCCCTAAACCCTATGGTCCACCTTGTGGTCACCTCCCTTGGCATGAATTCCTCTACTAACCCTCCCTTGGGAGATCACCCGGGGGTTGCTTCCAAGAAAGCATTTCCGCCTTTCCACGAACCAAGATGTCTCAGCCTGCCCGTGCCTGAGATGCGTACATTTCGAAGTCCAAAGGGAAGGCAAACTCCCGAAAGAAACATAAC